ACCAAAGGACATATCATCAACCTTGATTGTGGGAGGCCAAAGATGACAAAACCAAGTGCTGCCTGATAATCCTGAGGTGCTGTAAGATGGGAAATTTGGGCGTACTAGTCCAATTCCCTCTTATTGTGGGGTGGTTCTCCTTTTGGCGTACAGACAAAAGGAGTATCATCCCTACCAATGGAATTTTTATCCACCTGATTATTGAGAGCCCATGCTGACTAAACTGGTTCTAAATGTTATTCATTCACCACAGTTCTCAAAATGAGGGGAATCGAATATGGCGACAAAGACATCAAGACTGTCATGCGACAAACAAACAAGTGGCTACTTGACTTGCACAAGGATAGCCATGTGGAAACTGTAGACTTCGATATCCTGGCAGTTTTCATTATGCAGGAGACTGATGCCAAAATGCATATTCGCGATCTGGTGGCCACTATCATCAAAACTTTTGCCGGCTCCAGTACACCACAAACCAACCGACAAAACCAACTCCTTGACGCCGCCTTTGTTGTCTACGAAACCATCTATCGCTACGACCAGGGAGTTTTACTGCAACCCGACTTTCCAAAACCATTTTGTATTAGACATCCTAGCCTCCTTGACGTCTTAAAATACTCAATGAAAATGGAAAAGAAGTGTAAGATAATAGAAGAGGCAAAGAAGATGATAATCTTGATCGATGAGAATGGAATCTGTGTTGGTGATGGTCTCCCACCTTACCCTGCCCCACCAAAGGATTCTAAACACATTGCACATGATGTAAGTGATTTTGCAATGTTTTAGGATTTCCCTGTCAACTGACAAAGTGTGGATGTACAGGCTCGTGCATTAGCTACACTGAAAGAAATGGTCGAAACACCTGTGTGCAAGTTGAACCTTAACCAATATCCCCCTTTATTTGTAGAAAATCCACCATCTGGCCCACCACAAACTCCCTTTAGCCTGAACTCCAAAACAAAAGGTGATGTACGAGCTCCAGCAAAAAGTCTTGACGCCAGTGTTTCGTATCAGACTTATGGATTTGGATTAGGTGGAGTGAGTGTGTTTCCTTTGTATTCATCACAAGCCAATGGAATAAATACTGATTGCCAATTATGTTAGAAAAAATCGGCAGGAGTGCTTGACAAGAAGATTGCTTGTGATGGTAAATCAAAGTCAATCAAAACTGAGGAGCTACAGGGACACAATGATGGATGGAAAGAAAAGAAAATAAAACCGGAACTCCCTGATCCCCTCCGCGACTACAGCAACACCTTGGATAATCAGGCCCTTGCCAAATTGCGAAACGAAATTGTTGAAATTCTGACTCTTTCTTCTCATTCCTAAAAACCTTTTCCTCATTTGTTAATGTTTATACAAATTGATATTCATGTTTTGAGTATGTTTTGTCCTTGTCTGAGTGGCATCTTATCTTTTTGTCTAGTGCTGAAATCCCTGTAGTCTTCGAACCTGGGTCTAGTCTTTATCAACAAGAATTTGCTCCTGTCAATGTTTCATTCATGTTTCAAACTGTTATTCATTTCTATATTCAATTTCTTCTCAAAACCACATGTTGAACATCTTGTATGTAGACTACTTAACAACTAGTCTCTGCTAAGTAAAAATATGATCGGTTCTCTCCTTCTTTTTTCGACCCTCTGAGCCGTTCCAACAAAATTCATTTTTGTTGTCAAAAAATCTCCTCCCAAAATTCTCCCTTCTTCGGTTAGAATTTCTTCAGAAATGACTTTTTATTCCAAGCTGACCCTTGCAATCAACCTTGCTTTTTTGCCAGAGACATCAGATGTGGCGGTCAAGGCAGTGGATTACTTGAAAGATGAGGGGACTGATCTTGTTCAAGAGAGATTGAAGGTTGAAAAAAATGAGATTATTGCTTGTAAGTCTGATATCTCATGCCAAATTCCTGATGATTCTACAGATAAAAGAATACTTATTTTGATGATACTGCAGCCCGCACAGTCAGTGTGAATACACAGATCCATACCCATCGCGACAAAAAAAATGCCCTTTTGTTTGATTCAGTTTACTTCTTTGGAAATCACGGTGGTGGCAACTTTCTTTTCCCATCCTTAGGTGTGGCTCTCATTGGTCTCCATGGTTACTCTGTACACGGCCCTTTCAGGATCCTCTACCATGGGGTGGCGCAATACCATTTCAAACAAGATATTCGGGATGCCCCTTACCGATTTTCTGTTGCCATGTGGAGCCGTGAGAGTTCTTTCACTTCAATTGCTAGGCATTCTGCCTACCACAAGAAGGATAATCAAGTAAGATCTCACAAATCAACATAGTCTGTTCTAATTTAACAGCTGATATTGTATTTTGATTTGTGCCAGACATACAGCGACTCCACCTATTGGCTTCCAATTTATCCTGAATACAAATCCGACTCTGTCAGGGAGTACTTTGAAAAGTACCATTCTGAATCAAGGGACAGAACAAGAAACAACCAAGCCAAAAAGTAACAAAACTCAACCTCTTT